TTTCTCTTTAACCAAAAGGCTTTTGTGAAAGGTACACGATACCAGGTGATTAAGATAGGATATTTAAATTTCTTTCCCTAAATAGTTTAATCAGATGATTTATGCGATCAGCTTGGTTGCATTATTTTACTGAGATGCCATTAGTGCCTCAAACAATGCTGATAAAGCTAAACTTATAGAAAAGTAAGCCAAAATGTAAAACTACATGGATTGCCACTTGAATCTTGGGTTAAGCGATTAGGCATATTGATTGCGTTTCTTAGTATGCATTAAAGACACGCTTAATCAGCATAATAAAATCTGCGATTTGTTATTCATAGTTTGCTCCGTTGTTTGTTTGTTTACTTCTTTTTCTTATTTTTTTTCTTCTTCTTCTTCTTCTTCTTATTATCATTATTATCATTGTTATCATCATTATTATTATTATTATCTTCATTATTATTATTATTATTATTATTATTATTATGTCCTTCAATTTTAAAGAACATCCTTTATTCATCTTTTATTTTTTATTTATTTGTGCAACATTACTTTTTTTAAAAATGTGCATAGATTGTTTTGATGTTACCTATGTTAATGGTTATTCATTTATTTGCCCAAATTTAACAAATCGTAAATAAGTATGCAACATATGTATAACAGAAAGCAAAATTAAACGGAAATGTCAAAATATGTTTATGACACATTTTATGTCAGATACACAAGTTGTGAATGTAATTGTAATAATTTATGCTCCACACAAAAAAACACTAGTTTTGTAACTGTTAAGTTTAAGAGTTCAAGAGTTTAGACGGGTGATAAAGGTAATTCAGATTCAGATAGAAATGCGGGAACTATATAATGATGACAACAGGTGGATAGCAATGATGTAATGTCCTGGATATTCTACTTTATATGCAAAAGCATCTGTCTGAACTATCAGCATTTCAAAAATAAGTAATTAAAAACAAATCATGTCAAACTAATAAGTGTATACTTAGTTAAAAAAAATAATTCAGATAGTTAAAAGTATACTCTTTAAAATTTATGGTTTTGTATTCTGTAGTAAAATTAACTTTTCGTAGTGTAAATATAAACATTGTTATAGTTGCGGCAACTACACCTTCATTTCAAACTTTAAACTGAATCAGTATATCTAAAAGTAGCGTATATATCTGAACAAAAAGCCCCAATAAGTTAACCGTATTCAAAAAATTGTTTTCGAGACTTTAGAGTTTGCATAGAGAAAACGAACATCTACTCCACGTCATAAGGACGTATGTAAAAAAATAATATGTAAAACCGTTCTCCTGTCAAACAAACCTCGTCATAATAATGTTTGTAAAAATTAAAATCTGTAAGATCAATCTTTAGTCCAACAATTCAAGTCAATAGAAGTATGTAAACAATTATTTGTAAGACCGTTCATTAGAAAAACAATCACCGTCATAAGAATGTATGTTAAAAAATAATTTGTAAGTCCGTTCTTTATTTTAAAAAAATACATCTCATTAGAACGTATGCAGCGATCCCCGTTGTAAGAACGTAATTATGTAAAACAATAATGTAAAAAATCTACATTATTTGAGTAATCAAACTAAATGCCTTATGCTCTAGATAACACTTTGAAGTTCCATCATTACATTTTAGTTTCAAAACTTAGAATATCAAATGACAAGCCTACCTTTTCAGTGTTCGTACTCCACTTTGCAAATAATCCATATTTCTCTAACACAATTCCTGTCTTTCCTCTTTCGCTCCCTGTCTCTGATACAATGAGAAAACGTCTTCATTAATTGAATTCATCTTCATTTGTTATATTTCCAACACAAGTCATGAGAGAAAATAATTTGTACGTGTAGTAAATGAAAGACAGTGAAACATTAATACTTGTCGAAAGGAAAAACAGATTTTCCTTTTTTAAAAATGGCTTCAATTATATTAACTTGAATTGTTGACACCTGATCGTCATCAATTAATCACTTTGAATTTTCATTTCTTTATCCGTTTTAGCAATAAGAATACACTCACAGATAAAAACACAAATACGCTTATAATAACTATTTAAATAATGCTGCAACATAAGATAATGTATTATTATAGCCGGAGATAAAGTTACACAATTACGCGCGAAAACATATAGTTTCTTCTTATAATTGTAACAGATCACATTAATCATATAGCTACTCATATAGAACACATTTCATTATTTTGTGAATATCCTATTAACTATTTTCATCAAATTTTACACTATCCTTTAACAAGATCTTATTACATATCACATAAAGTTGATTTTATGAAAACAACACAAATTATAATTATTTCCCTTGACATTTTCAGTAAAAATAAATAAATAAAATAATAATAATAAAAAATCAGCTGACCAAGAGTCAATCTACATGTAGCATATATACTTACGCTCGAGAAGAAGTCCTGTATGTTAAGGGTGATTTTTTACCAGCTTACAGTTGTTAACATTTTAAGACATGATAGTTGGAAATGTTTATATAGTGTGTACTCCAGCTATATGACAACAAGAACAAGACCACTAAACAGTTAATGAATACAATATCGGACACATGATGGAAATGTGAAAATTCAATTATTACACTGACAAGTATGCAATAAAGTATGCCAATTGTAAAAATAATATACCAAACAAAAATTATTTGTAGCCTCACACAGTACAATGTAACATGTTAGTTTCATCATGTCGGTTCACAAAGGTACCTGTTCTAGCGTAATAACCGGTTTAATCAATTATTCAAAGATCAATATTCAAATCCAAAAACAAATAACGTTTATTATTATCATGATTAAGCCAAAATTCTTCTATGAATAGATAAATGATCATAAATATGTTTTAGTTAAAATAGAAAGTACATGAGTAATTTGTAAATGTTTCTTTCTTAACATTTTAAAGTTGCACGACTCCAGATGAAGAAAACACATATATGTGTGTTCAATACAAAAAAAAATGTTTTCAATATAGAAAGCGTAATCATATCAAAGCTCTATATGTAAAATATCTGGAAAAAATAATAAAGACCCCACAAGAGGCTAATACCCATGATATTAAATTTTGAAATCTAGGGGACTTATCAGCTCAAATATAATTTCGATTATCTATTTCTAATTATTGCCGTAGGGGTAATTCAGAATGGATACTTACACAAGAACATCAAATTCATATTGATAAATATGAAGGGTACTGAAATATCATAACAATCAAATCGTTTTAACGGCGTTAGGAACAAGGAAATTGAAGAGTCTGAAACAAATAAAGTAAAGCAATCCATTAGATATTATTATGCACTTGATAATTTTAGAAATATTATGCATAATTAATAATTGAATACTGACATTTAGTCTTAGTGAGTAATGATCTGTTAGACTGACTACCTTATTACCATATTACAATTGTTTGCAAAATAAATTTTTGAAATTGATTGAACTTCTAAATATGATAATGTCAAAGATATTAAAACAATTACATGCATCATCTACAATTTTACTCTATTTGCAATAAATTGTTATCAGTAACATCTAATACTGGTCCATTTTATATAAAAAAAAAACATCATTGAATTCCATAGTGTCTTACAAACAAAAATCACTTAGCGTATCATTAAAATGAAGTTATGATCAAATACAAGTACAACAGTTTAATGAAGATAAAGCTGAAGGCTTCTTGATAAAACAAATATATCCACAAGACATTTTATATGTTACTTGCTATTTATTTATTACACATGACTGACAATAGACTGTTTATTCACAAGATATTGATATTGAAACATTTGAAAGCCGCCCTTCCTTGCTGAAACCTGTTTTTCATCAAATATTTTAAAATGAAACTTGAACTGTGTCTCTTATTGGCTGCTGTAAACGCGGGTTTATTTTTTGGCAATTTTTACATTCGATTTGCCATTGGATAAAGTACTAAATAAAACTAGGCTCCACGTTACATTTCGAATGTTTCATCCTCATTCATGAATAAACTCGGATCAAAGCGATTGTGTCATTTTCATTTTCTGTTACGACTTTTTCATTGCTCTGGAGAAATATCATTTATATCTCATTTTACCAATGACTTCCTTAATAAATGCCGTAAATTAACCCAATATTGTCATATCTATAAGAACATTAGTAATGACTAATGATAGACCAATAACATTCGGCCTGTACTTAAATAATACTGCTTCTACAGATTAAACAAACATTCCTTCTATTTTTTGCTTTGTAAATTATTTATTATGTCGTATAAATATCGAGCGTGGACCGCAAAAAAGTCCTTCTTTGTTTCATATAATTTACAGTAGTTTTGCAGTCAACCTGCCATACGAGGACTCTGTATTAACTGTGCACAAAAAACAAATCATACATTCCAAGACAAGCACAGCCATACATTCGAATTTCTTGTATACAATAAAAGGATTTAATATTTCTCTTGTCTAAAGAATCATAAATAACATTTTCGATTGACGTAGGCAGAGGAAATGCCTTATTTAGGTCTATTTGAGATAAGAATGAAACAACATTTATAACGGAAGTATATTTTATAGCCGTAAATTTGACTCTGTAAAAAATAAAATATTAAAAGTTGTAACGAATCAGTTATAGACATAATTTATGTAGAGGACTCTCAATATTAAATTATATGATTTCCTGTTGGATAAGTCGGACGCATAACTCAATTATAAACAACGTTGGACAAATGTTTTTTTATTCTCTTTTGTTTCGCTTCTGTGCGTTGCTTTAAATACGTCAATGTTTTTCATTTTCTGTGTTCTGCAAAATCATTCGGTTCATATGTTGTACGATTTGATTTTGTAGTACAAATGAAGGTTTGAATTCGCCAGTGGGTAATTTCACGTCTTCCAGTTCTCTTTTTCAAAGGTGATATGTAACTCTTCTATCTTTTGATCTACTGTCAGTCCTTGATGGCTATCATCAAAGTAAATACCTTTCATGTGAACATTGATACTTTCATTAGAACATTCATAATTTCAGGTGAACATTCATACATGATACTTTGGAATTTTATCACTCACTACAATATTGAACGTGTCTATGACAGTCGGATCTTTATCACCTTTCATTGACTTTGTAGGTACAGTATATTCCATTAAATAACAGCATGTAGGATATCCCTCATTGTACTTTAATGTCTTCGCTTTCTCATTTATATTTGACGCTAAAAATGGTTCAAACGTGATAGGATTCATACCATATGATAACGATATATTGGTATAACAAGATAATTGTTTTCAATTTTTTTGTCATCTTCTTTAAACCAGTTATCGAAATTCCAAATTACTATTTGTTTTCTAAGGACATTGTAAATTGTTGAAAATGCTGTTCTTCGTACGTTGACAAGCTGTCAAGAAGTGGCTATACTGTTTCGCCGAATTTGACCTCTGTCCTGTTCATTAACAGCGTATGTTGTAGAAATCCAGAACTACGATTATGACGTAAACGGTTTGGTTGTGTTGAGGTCATTGTTCTTGTATCTTGGTCTTAAGCTGATGTTATTTTGTCGTCTGAATCGTGTGTTTCATTTGAAATTTCTAAACATTGGTAACAAAATAATAATCATAATTAAAGATGGTGCAATAACAAAACTTCCAAAATATAGTTTTGAAATTTGTATTTCTGACACCAAAAACTATCAGTGTATATAATTCAACAAAATTCTAATGAAATGTCTTTGGCAGTATTGCGAACGAAGAGATGTATTTTGAACTTTATGTAAAATAAGTTTTAAGAACAACATATTGTCCTTGGTCCATAGTTTTCAAGAAAGTATTTGTGCTTATTGTCTTGTGAAACATCTGTAAATATAGCCATTGTGAATGGAACTTTAATATACTCACGTATCACCGGTATCGCAAGTCTTGTTAATCCTCTATAATTAGTATTTAATACAGGTTCACTTCCACCATTATATAGTCCCATTACGCCTAAATGGGGGGAGGTCACTCTAGCGACTAGTTTTTCCAACGCTAAATAGTTAAGCGTGTATGGATTCTCGTGAACCCCATGCAAAACTAACAACATCTGTTTTATGATTGCACAAACTGGGTCTGAATGCGATAAGTAAGGCAAGGCATCTAAAAGAAGGAAAATGTGTAAGATATTTAGAAACGACCTTTAAAATCAGAGAAAAATATAGAGACTGTTTATGCCAATAACAAAACAGGAAATGCTAAATTTGTAAAAATATTACGCTTTACTGTTCATATTTTATATAATTGAAGAAAATGTATAACAAAGACTATACCCTTTATTGGTAACTTAAGTAAAACAGTGTTTCTAAACTCCAATAAAGACACTTGTTTTATCGTATACGTTTTGGTCTGAAAAAAGAACGGTTATATTAAATAGATATCTACTTATGGTTTTTTGCAAATACTGTCCATGAAACATGACATTCCTTACATTTTATGTACGAGTATAAAAATTGCAAGTTCATACATATGCTCACCATTATAAATGTTGACCAAATATATTAAAATATCTAACCTTAGTGTTTTTATTAAATCAACGCAGAAAGGTTGTCATTTTATTAATCATTAGGTACAAAATACAAAATTACATTCTAATTAACTTGACAAAAGTATTCATCTGTATACATACTTCAACTTGGTGCAAAAGTGCGTATAAAACCGGTAGTATTTCTCCGTAAAAGTAGTTCCATTCTTCTTCCAAAAGGGTTAAAAGTGTAAGCCCTGGAAAGGAAACCGGGTAAAATAAACAACACATTTTCGAACGTTCTTGTTGTATTATGACGGTAAAACTATCGTGTATCAAAAACGGAACTATATGTAAATAAATATGTGTTTGTGCTGATAAAACATTACATATCAAAATACAATTATTCAATTATTCAATCAATATGTTACATAGAGATGGCTATATTTAAACTCGTTAAGATAACTGATCAAATGCTAAGATGGAAAATGCGATTGTTATGAAGAAACAGCTCAACGTTGAAGAATAAATAATTTTGTGAAATAGTGAAATAGAAAATTAAATATATTTTGTTTACCGGGTATAATTAAAATATTTCAAATACATTCCAATCATGTGTTTCACGTTTTTTCAAATAAGAATCTTGTGAAATCTAATATGAATGTTATATACCAGTTTCGTGTTTTATTTGTTCACGAATTATGACCATTCCTTTCTTTATAAGTTTGTCCTGAAAAAATGTTAAGAAAAATATCAAGGTATATGTTTAACATACTTACCATTATGTCGATGTATAAATTTAAGCAATTAAAATTCTGGAAAAGAAAGATCCATCCTTCAAGAGCAATGACTTAAAAAACTGTTCAAAATCAAAGACCCGTTTGACTGTGTCCGTTTACTAGAGATAATGTAAAATGCAAAGTCTCTCATGCACTTAACACCGACTTAAGTACCATTTAATTCCCAGTCTTAAAATGTTATACTCAATGAAAATATAAGGAATGAAATTTCAACAAACCATTTGCGATTTCCAGTAAAATATTGAGTTTAAATTCTTTAGACAAATGCAAGAAACAGGGAACTTAATCAATCTGTTGCTACGAGTTATTTTAAGTTAATTTGTTTCCCTGTAAGAGGATTAATGTTTGGCTGTCTTTTCCCTTGAAACTTTCTATAGTTTAAATGAATAATGTATCACAAAAGAAGATTTGAATAATTGCGTCACACCTTGTAGTAATCGTAGATTAGAGGCCCTGCCTCCGTCGTGGTGAGATTCCTGAAGATATTGTAAGAATAGTTTTATAGAATAAACCGAAGATCAAAATGATTCGTTCAGAAATTAACATAAAATAATGTTCTATTTCAACTTCACAGCCGATCAAATTTAGTCGAGAGCACATTTCAAATCAGTTCTAAAAATCAATTGTAATGTTTTTCAATTAAACACCAGAATCATAAAGGATAACAATTCTTGTGATTTAAAAAAGCAAATATCAAAAATAGATTAGCAAAGTTCAATAAATATTTAAAGCAGTAAAGAATACTTTATATTGTTGTATATTAATATAGAAATATAAAAATATGATTTTCTTTCTACTAAACATCTAGTTCACCTATTCGTATTTCAATTGACAAAAGGGATATCAATGGTTAACAAAGGTGCAACTTGCAAATAAAAGTCGTTTGATTTTCATCAGATCTGCTTGCATAAACTGAGTTTTTATGACAATGATTTTAACACACAATGGTTAAAAAAGTTGAAAAGTTTAAAGAAAATAGAAGTTAAAGTTAGTTTCTTGATTTATTGATTTATTCAATTTCAGGACTATACAAGAACAACAAACGGTATATTTTGCCCTCATATGGGAATGAGAAATAATTCATGCCCAATTAACTTTAAGATTGAAGTATTTTATACATTGACGTTTTAACAGCATTCTGATAAACTTAAAGCAACCAAAGAATGTGGTTGTTGTACATTCATATCATATATCTAATAATATCCAATCACTACACTATTATTACTGGATATCGATAAGTAAATCAATATTGAACCAAACGTACGTTCACAACTATTAACCTTTATTACAGCACCTCTAAAGACTATATCAGAAATGTTAACTATAACCTCCGGAGTTTCCTTCGGCCAAAGACAAATGTGTATTGCCTACCGTACAGATTCCTGCAAAGCTGATAGTTCATTTTCTTGTAATTTCTTCTTTTGAAATAAATGAACAATGGCAGTCGATACACTGAAATAAAAGATAAAAAAGAACCAGAAAACATCTAGAAATTAAAAAGAACGTTTTTATTATATCAATATCTTGTCGCAATAATATGTTTTGTTTCAACAACTGAATATCTTGTCAAAATTTGAATCTGACCCTTTTTCCGTTTGCTTTTAGTAATTATGTATAATTATAACAAACACATAATCGGGATGTTATTTTCATCAGCAAGGTTACTAAATACACTCATTCTGTTTCTGCTGGCTTTAAATCTAACTTACATCGCTAGCTGTATTATTCAAAATATTAAGGTAATTTAATTTTTGTTTTAAAACATGAGGACATAATCAAAAATGTTATTAAAGGTGTTTGTCAACAGTTTACCTGGCAAATGCAGCATTTTTCAATGTAAGATCTGCTTTGTTAGTTGAGAAGAGATGTCGCCCTAGTCCACTGAATGAATCCCGGTGTATATGGCTCCTGATAGCATCAGTTATATTTGATATACTATGCCTGAAAAATAGCCCATACAATATCAACTGAAACAAGCAGTTATTATGTTTTCGACACAAGTATAATCCACACTTTATAATATTTATCTTTAAATGAATCACTATTCAAGTGATCTGAATGAAGTACAAAATCTTGGTTATCGACCGATTTTTCAAGAACGTATTGGGCTAATGTCATTTAGTTGTATACATCTGTACAAACAATGTATGAACATGATATTATTATAAATTATCCATTCTCAGTCGGACAAAACACTGACACTGAAGATTTATTAAAATTGTAACTTTATCATAACTTGACTAGAGATCCAATTTGCTATGTAGTAGTCCATTTCGGTCTTAAATTTTCTGCTTATTATGTTGTTAAACAATGCTACATCAAATCAAAATACAGAAATACTTCTTTCATTCAATAATGATTAATTAATAAGCAACACGGGTATTTTCATTTTGTATATTAAAAGGATATTGATATTAAAAATCTTAGTTGCTGAATATTGCCTTTTATCTTACAAACGTGTTTCATCCAAAGACATTTTAGATTAAATTACAGCCCTCTCCACCCCCCACCCCCAACCCCCCCCCCCAAAAAAAAAACAACAAAAAAAACCACTCATATATAATACCAACAAAATAAAACGACAAACAAAAAATACGTTACACGACTGTTTCATTATCCTATAAAATTAGACATTGCAGTAAAAACCGTCATTTATTTGAAATACAAGCAAGTTTACAACATGTATAAAAACAGTTTTATATAATTATCTTATGTTTATGTCCTACTACTTAAGGGTCAACATGGCGGTCAAATTAGATGTATGTATAGAAGAATTATGATATCAACTCAATAGTAATGTTTTCTGGTGATATTTCAACTTGAATTATGCATTTTTCTAACATTTTTCGGGAGATTTTCGCTAACAAATACAAATGTAATTGTGATTGTATTGTATATGAGCGTAATATAAGATGACTTGTCATTAAGCTTCTTTTTTCATATATCATACTTTTTATATTATATCTAAATATATTACTCTGACATGTAACCTAATCGTGAAATACCAAGTGCTGTAAATGTTTCCTTAATATTATTATATCATATTTGTTTGGACAATAGGGGGATAATAATAGTAATTATTATGATACCTAGTCTGAACTATTTAGTACATATACTAACACTTGCATTGGTTAACACCATTTGTTTCGGGTAAACATTTCGTTCCATCACCCTCGGTTTGATGTGATATTTAAATATTGTTTCTGTTTGCAATCGTATGTCTATTACAAAGAAAATGCATGGTCAAACACGTCTGTTGAATATGCCATTATATCATAATATGACATGATAAATTTCAAGACTGATAATAATCGTCAATACGTTGTCTTATCTACCAAAAATATATGTAATTTTAGCTTTTGACTATTTTATTTTACTCAGTCCTAATAAATTTGTAACTGCTTTAATCACTACATGTATATTGTAATTTCTATTTAACCAAATGTTGTGAAAGGAACTCGGTACTGTGTGTTTAAGGTGGGAAATTTAAATGTCTTTTTTCTGAATAGTTTCATCAGATGATTAATTCGATCAGCTTGACTGTTAAATTTTATTAAGATGCCGTTAGTGCCTCAAACAATGCTCCTGAAATCTTCTTCGCTAATAGAGCTAAACTTATAGGAAAGTAAACCAAAATGTATTACTATAGGGATTGCTTATTTGCCATTTGAATCTTGGGTTTAGAGATAAGGCATATTGATTGCGTTTCTGAATATGCATTTAAGGCACGCTTAATCAGCATCATAAAATCTGCGACTTTTTCTTCATATTTTGCTCGTTAATTTTTTTTCTTATTCTTTTTCTTCTTTTTATTATTATTATTATTATCATTATAATTATTATTATTATTATTATTTTTATTATTTCATTATCATAATTATCATCATCATCATCATCATCATCATCATCATCATTATTATTATTATTATTATTATTATTATTATTATTATTATTTCCTTGAATTCTAAATAACTTCCTCTAGTCATATTTTATTCTTTTATTATAAGTGCTACATTTCGATTTTTTTAAAAATGTGCATAGATTTATTGATGTTATCTATGTTAATGATTGTTTTATTTATTTGTTAACAAATCATAAATATTTATGCAACATGTATAACTGCAAGCAAAACAAAACGGAAATGTCAGAATATATTTTATGACATATTTTATGTCATATACACAAGTTGTGAATGTATTACAATAATTCATGCTTCACACAAACACTAGTTTTGTTACTGTTAATTTTAAGATTTTAGACTGGTGATAAAGGTAATTCAGATTCAGATAGAAATGCGGGAACTTTACTTTGATGAAAACAGATGAATAGCAGCAAATGGTGTAATGTCTAAAATATTCTAATCAATATTTTAAAGCCTCCATTCTGAACTATTAGTATTTCAAAACATCAAACATTTTTATGGTATTTTCTATACAAGGGACACATAACATATTTTATGCACAATGTTTTATTATCATAATACCATAATATATACCTATAATAATCATTAGATTATTTTCTTTGTATTTGACATGTATTGGTAATTTCTGTACATAGTAAGGCTATCTTAAACAACATCTTTTCTGATAAGATCAGTATTTATTTTAACTTATTAAAATAAAATAAAATCTTGAATCCAGAAACGCGCTTCTTTCATGTCAAATACTTAATCTTCATCAAGTATAAACAACTTTGATAAGTGAAAAGTGTACACTTAGTTTATAAAAAATAAATAATTTAGATACCTATAGAAAGATACCCTTTTTTATGATTTTGTTATCTGTAGTTAATTGTTTTTGTTTTTCTGTAGTAAATTTAACTTTTATAGTATTAAAATAAAACTTGTTACAGTTGCAACAGCTAAGCCTTCAATTCAATTTTTAAAATCAATTAGTTTATAAATAAAAGTAACGTATATATCTTTACAAAAAGCTTCATAAAAGTAACCGTATTTAACAATGTTTTCGAGACTTTCGAGTTTGCAAAAAGAAAACGAACATCTACTCCAAGTCATAAGAACGTATGTAAAAAATATGATCTGTAAGACCGTTCTTTCGTGAATCAGTCCGTCTCATTATAACGGATGCAAAAAAATCTTTTAGACCGTTCTTTAGCAAATAAACCATCGTTATAAGAATAATCTGTAAGACCATTCTCTGGAAAATCAAGCATTTAAAAATCTACATTATTTGAGTTATCAAACTAAATACCTCGTGCTTTAGATAACACTTTGAAGTTCAATCATTACATTTCCGAATTTAGAATATAAAATGACAAGCCTACCTTTTCAGTGTTCGTACTCCACTTTGTAAATAATCCATATTTCCCTAACACAATTTCTGTCTTCTCTCTTTCCCTCTCTGTCTCTGATGCAATGAGAAAACGTCTTCATTAGTTGAATTCATCTTCATTTGTTATATTTCCAACACAAGCCATGAGAGAAAACAATTTGTACGAGTAGTAATTGAAAGACAGTGAAACATTAATCTTTGTCAAAAGGAAAAACATATTTTCCTATTTTAAAAATGACTTTAATTATATTAACTTGAATTGTTGACACCTGATCGTCATCAATAAATCACTTTGAATTTTCATTTATTTCTTTATCCGTTTTAGCAATAAGAATACACTCACAGATAAAAACACAAATATGCTTATAATAACTATTTAAATAATGCTGCATTATTAGATAATGTATTATTATAGCCGGAGACATAAGTAACACAATTACGCGCGAAAACATATAGTTTCTACTTATTATTTTAACAATTCACATTTATCATATAGCTACTCATAAACAACACATTTCATTATTTTGTAAATGTCTTATTAATTCTTTTCATCAAATTTTACACCAACTTTTAGCAAGTTCTTATTGAATATCACATAGTTTATTTATTAAACAACACAAGTTGTAACCTTTTTCCTTTGACACTATCTGTCCATTAAAACAGCTAACCAAGAGTAAACATATACTTACGCTCGAGAAGAGGTCCTGCATGTTAAAGTTGACTGTATTTTAAGGGTGATTTTTTTACCAGCTTACAGTTGTTAACATTTTAAGACATGATAGTTGGAAATGTTAATATAGCGTGTACTCCAGCTATATGACAACACAAACAAGACCACTAAACAGTTAATGAATACAATATCGGATACATGATGGAAATGTGAAAATTCAATTATTACACTAACAAGTATGCAATAAAGTATGCCAATTGTATAAATAATATATCAAACAAAAGTTATTTGTAGCTAGCCCCAGACAATACAATGTATTTCATCATATCTAGAAGCGTTCACAAAGATACCTGTACTAGGCGTAATAACCGGTTTAATCGAGTCATTCAATCAAGTACATTGTTTAAATCCAAAAACAAATAACGTTGATGATTAAGTGCAAAAATGCCAAAAATTCTTCTCAGAATTGATAAATGTTGAAACATATGTTTAGGTTGAAATAAAAGTTACACGAGTTATTTTGTAAATGTATCTTAAAAGATTAAAGATGTAAGGTGAATAAATGCAAATAAAAAATTAAACATTGAGAAATATACAGATATAATTCTTCTAAGTGTTTAAAATTTTCAAACTGTTTACAAGCCATGGGTCGTATGACCATGTTAAAACTTTGCATATTATGTGTGGAAGGAAGACGAATAAAGATCCTACAAGATGCTGCTACCAATAATATCATATATTGCTTCCTTGGAGATTTATCTGGATAAACAAAATTTCATTTACATTTAACAATTCTTAATTATTTGTGGTACTTAACTTACTACATCAAATAAATATTGGTAATTTAAAAGTGATACTAAAATAACACAGCAATTAAATAGTTCTAAGAACTAAGAGTAAGAATGATAAAGGGTTTGAAATGAATAAAAAGCAATCCATTTGATAATATTATGCACTTGACACTTGTAGAAATATTAAAAATCAATGAATTCTGTATTTAGTCCTAGTGAGTACAGTTTTGTTACCTCGATTTATTTATTAGACCACTATATAACAATTGTGGTTTGCCATTAATGCATTTTATAGTGATTTGCTTCAACTTCTAAATACGATAATGTCAAAACTATTTAAAACAATTACAGGCATCATCTTCAATTTTATTGTTTTTGCAAAAAATCAGTTACTAATATTAATCTGAATGTCATTTTATGAAAACAAACATAATTGAATTCGATATTGTCTTAAAAAATCACTTAGGGCATCATTATAATGAAGCTGTGATCAAATACAAAGATACACAGATAAATGGAGATAGAGATGAAGTCTTCCTAATTAAACAAAGCTATACTCATGCTATATATATATATATGGTCGTTACTCGCGATATATTACACATTATTGGAAATAGACTGTTTATTCCCAAGAAGTGATATTGAAACATTTGAATGTATGATACATTAAACAGACTTAAGTGGAAGTGTATTGACGTTAATGAAGTGTAACGCTTAACAAGTATTAAAAGAACAATAATACTTAGTTTTCATTTTATCTGTCTTTAAGAATGAAGCTTAATGTCATTTTATTTGTAAGCGCCGTTAAGATGAAAGAGCTGAAAATATATAACATCAAATTTCCAGTTTTGCGGAACTTTATGCCATACGACTATCTATTAAGAGAATATAATTGATGCATCATCATTTTTTATTATTGAGTGGCCTAATTATCATGAAATTCTATATTATGTCTTATTTTTATTTAATTAAACTTAAAGCTATACAATTTTCAGGATATTTATAATCGACAGCAATACGCAGATATCAATAAAACGTACTGATCATTACATTCTTCTCAACATTTACAATTCATATTACAAGAAGAGCAGTCGTCTGGTAATGAAAATGTCTACCTCTCAACACAGGGTTCGTTGGTTCGAGTCTTATTTCCTCATCTGACACTAGTGTTTTTAGTTTATTGAAACATACTCGAGAAGGTTCGATAATGCACATAATAGGCTAATATATTGAAACGCTTATGTAACGCCAAGTCGAATATAAGTAACATATACGTAAAAAAATCTGGAAAAAATGTGATCCCTCGGAAGCATTAAACATAACAAAATTACAAGAGAATTGCAGACTCGGTTTCAATGAGTCTGTACATGAGGGGTAATGAATACATGCAACATCCCTCACGCCCCCTAGCACCGGCTTGAGCGGTACTCAATTCTCAACACTTAATATTGCTGGCATCAATGATCCCGAAGGACCAGAAAAATATAACAACACTGAAGTGAAGTACGGGGCAACTTTTTACAGCTGCCACACAGCACTTGACACCTGCTATTGTGAAGTATAAAAATCTGGAAACAAAGTATTCCCTCGGAAGTATTAATCACAACAAAATTACAAGAGAATTGCAGACTCGGTTTGACTGAGTCTGTACATGAGGGATAATGAATACATACAACATCCCTCACGCCCCCTAGCACCGGATTGATCGGTACTCAATTCTCAACACTTAATAGTGCTGGCATCAAACAGAAAAATATAACAACACTGAAGTGAAGTACGGGGCAACTTTTTTACAGCTGCCACGCATCACTTGACAGGCTGCTGTTGTGAAGTATAAAATCTGGAAACAAAGTGATCCATCGGAAGCATTAATCACAACAAAAATACAAGAGAATTGCAGACTCGGTTTGATTGTGTCTGTACATGAGGGATAATGAATAGCATCTATGTGACACATATGACAGCTGTACCATTTTTATGACTTCTTCTACTTAAAAAACGGTATCATCTATGTACTCCTATTTAATTCAATTTCTAAGAAATTTAGGCGCTTGTCCTGTAACACTTGTAGCATCTGTAACATCTGTAACAATTATATATTATATTTTCATTTTACTCTAATTTCTCATAACTTTTGCAACAATGATTTAACAACAACGTAACAACCTTGCAACATCTATGTTACGCTATTAATTCCAATTTCTGTTCATTTTAAGGCCTGTGGCGTAACACTTGAAGGATAAAAAATATACTAAAATTTCATTTCATTTCCAATTTGTGTAACAATGCTGTAACAACTAAGTAATAACCTTGTTACATTTATGTAACCCTATAAATTCTGATTTCATTCCATTTTAGGGCCTGTGCTCTATTACTTTCATATATGTTTCAATCATGTACAGCATTTTCATTCATTTGCAATTTTCGTACGTTTTGTAACAGGATCTTTCAAATTTTTAAAAGACCCTGTTTGTAACAATGCTGTAACAATCTTGTAACAACCTTGTAATATCTATAATCGTTCTTAAGTTAAACATTGCACATCAAAACAATGTATGAAAGAAAATTTCAATGAAACAAACCAAGTGATAAGACTGTTCTTAACATTATAACAACGTATATTAAAAGGAAAATATGTTAGACAGTTAATTAACAAATAATATTCGTTATAAGAACGTATGTAAAAATATAATCTGTAAAACCGTTCTCTTGAAAATCAAACTATATAAAACGCTATATTATTTTAGTTATCTAACGAAATTCCTTTGGCTTTGAATAACCCTTTGAAGTTCCATCATTACATTGTAAATTCAAAACTTAGAATATCCAACGACAAGCCTACCTTTTCAATGTTCGTACTCCACTTTGAAAATATTCCTGTCAAAAGAAAAACAGATTTTCCTTTTTTTAGAAATGGCTTCAATTATGTCACCGTGAATAGATGGCACGTGATCGTCATCAATAAGTCACTTTGAATATTTCTTATTTCTTTATCTTTTAGCAATAAAAATACAATCACAGATAAAAAACAAATACGCTTACAATATCTATCTAAATAATGCTACATCAGTAGATAATGTATGATAGATGGAGACGTAAGTTTGACAACTGCGAGCGAAAAATATATAGGTTCTACATATAATTTTAATAGTTCACCTTTATCATAGATACTCGTGATACAAAAATATCATATTAAGAATTTTCATCAAATTTTACTACAAGATTTTACAAGTTCTAACTTAATATCACAAAGACGATTTTATAAAAAAAAAAACAACAACACAAACTTTAACTATTTCCATTGACATTTTCAGCCTAAAAACAGCTAACCAAGAGTCAGTCAACATGTAGCACATATGCTTACGCTCGAGAAGAAATCCTGTATGTTAAGGGTGATTTTTTACCAGCTTACAGTTGTTAACATTTTAAGAAATGATAGTTGGAAATGTTAACATTGCTATAGACGTGTACTCCAGCTATATGACAACAAGAACAAGACCACTAAACAGTTAATAAATACAATATCGGACACATTGATGGAAATGTGAAAATTCAATTATTACACTGACAAGTATGCAATAAAGTATGCCAATTGTATAAATAATATATCAAACAAAAGGTATGTGTAGCCTCACACAGTACAATATAACATGTTGGTTTCATCTTGTCGGTTCACAAAGATACCTGTTCTAGCGTAATAACCGGTTTAATCAATAA